CTCGTATCTACCCCATAAAAAGCGTAAGCGTTGAACTAGGTTTAAGTAAATTACTCTATACATGAATTGTGTATTGAGGCAATTTGAGTTATACTTTATTAACTAACATCAAACAATTAATTAATTAATATTTATATATTATTTTATTAATATTTATGTAAACTAAATGATATTGATTACAACTTTTATAAATGTATGATAAATCAAAGTTTCTTAGAACTGGACCATCATCGTACCAATCAGGTTATTATTCAATACATTATTAGTTGGACGAGAATTTAATTTATTAATATTAATTAATATTTATTTTATTTAAATGTGTATTATTATTCATACTAAAAATAATTTTAAATGTTACAAAATTTATTTAAAAATCGTACAAATCTTACCAGTTCGAGCGACTGGTGTTGATCGGTTTACATACAAACATTTTACTCAAGCAAAACGGACCGATAGATAAATAGATTTGTGGTCCGCTCGTTCGGACTACTCGGTCCGGTCCAATTGTGAAAACAATAAGTAAATTTTGATTATTATTATTATTTATATATTTAAATTATAATATAATCATATGTTTTTAGTTGTGCATCGCGCGGCCATATGTTAGTTCTAATTAACAATATTCTAAAATAGTATATATGCACAAATTAATATTAACCTATCTTTTTCGCTTGTTACCTTTTCACATGCCCACGAGGCACAAATCTTTGAATATGTAGTTTTTAAAAATTTTATTTTTACATAAAGAATAATTTTTAAAGAAAAAAATTAATACCTCATTGATTTGTTAACATTTTTCGTTTACATACATATATATATATATATAATATCAATTAATTATTATTATTAATTTATTATTTTGTATCTCCCAGACTCCCACTATGTTAATATAGTTAAAAATACAAAATAAATGTGAACAATGATTTCAAGCTTAAATTAAATTTCATAAATGTTGAGATATTTAAATCTTCTAGTTTGAAAATTAAACTCTGCACACTTATCTACCTCATCTCTCCAATTCTTGTAAGGAAAGTGATAGGCCCTCTTTGGCCGACACGTGTCTCTTTTGGACGATAAATCCCCGGACTTTGGCCTCTTTTTCCACGGTCTGCCACTCAAATTCCAGCCTTTGACCCGGCATTTGGCATATATTTACACATGCTGCCACTCAAATCCAAGTGCTGGTACTCTTTTCGTCTTGGCACTGCTTTACCTTTTTTTTAATCCATTTGAGGTTATTATGCTAAATTGATCCTCCACAATGCAAACTGCTGTAGACAGTACGGGCCGATTGGATCTTCTCATCTCGGCATAGAAAAATGATGGGTGTTACTAAAATATTGCCACCAAATTACTATTCACCACCGCCTTTTTGAAAGACAATTTTATCCTTTTTATTTTAAAAATACGTATATATTTTTTTTAATTTGGCCGGCCGCTAATCGCGACCAGAACTCGCTCCGCCGGCCGAGGATCGCGGTCGGCTACCACACAGCCGGCCATATGGATTACGGCCGCTCCGAAGGCCGCCTTCTTCGGCGGCCGGCCTATTTTTTTTTATAAATGATATAATTTATATATGTTTAAATATTTAAAAAAATATATAATTTATTATTATTATTAAATATGTTATTTGTAATTAATATTATATATATATATATTAGTGAAATTATAATTAGTATTGTAATATAAATTGAAAAAATGTATAATTGTTTAATTAATTAGTTTGTATAATTATATAATCAAAAAATATTATTTTATTAATTAATATATTAATTACATTTTTATATTAAAAAAGTATATATTTTATAGTATATTATATATATTTTATATATTAATTATAACTAATATAATATATTAGTTATAATTATAACTAACTTATATACTTAAGTAAGTAACATATTTAATATATAATAATAAATTATATAATTTTAAATTATTTAAACATATATAAGTTATATATATTTATTTTCTATAATCAAAAATTTATTTATTATATAAATTATATAAGAATTTTTAGATATTATGTTATAAATAGAATTTATTATATTATAGTTAGAATTTAGAAATTACTATATTATAAATTATAATTCATTATGTTATAGAATTTTATTATTATTATGTTAAAACTTAGAAATTATTATGTTATATAACATAAAACTAATTATGTCTAACAAAATTCTAATGAATGATGTTATTAAAAATTGTAGTCCCCTTTTTTTCTTAAATCCGCTCCTTTTTAACTCGGTAATAAACTTTAAAATACAAAATAATATTCCTAATTAAATTTGAAATTCATAAATAACAAATTGAACGGAAAAATTCGGATTATGTTCGAGCAATTCATTGAGACCGATTAATTACGTATGATTAGACCGAATTTTATGACAAGATTGTTTGACAATTTTCTCAGAGTTATATGATTCGTGTGTGAATATTATAGTAGGAAAAGTATTTAGGCTCATGTTTAATTGAAGTATTAATGAAACTGTTTTGCTTCATTTTAGTTTTATCCATTTCCAAATGCTATGCCACATTATAACTAAACAATTCCATAACAATCAACGTATATGAACTAGGTCTAAAGTCAATCACAAAAATAAGTTTAAATTAACGTATAAACACGACCGAATATCATAATATATGATCAAGTGCCAGATGACCCTCAACATACAATTTGACTTTTATCTCAAAAAGACAGTTGGTCGCTTTAGTTTTCGAACGTCTCGCAACAGCCTTAGCTAAATCTTCTATACTACCTCTGTAATGTTCCCCCCGGTGACACCTCAAAGACCCTCTGTTTTCTTTCTTTTTTGTGTTTCGAGATGATCAATTCGAAACCAAATATAATTGCAGTTTTTTTTGCCCGCTTGATAGCTTCTTCTGAAATAGTAGTAATAAATTCTAATTTATAAGATAATCAATTGTAATCTATACTACAATAATTTCTAACTTCTAACATAGTAGTATTAAATATTACTACTATTTCAGAAATTATTTATCAAACACACTTATTTATTTCTCACACTGAGATCATTCAACGAATTAATTCCATGCATCAATGCCTTTACCTGGATGATAGGCATTCCAGTTGCATGAAGTTTTGAGGAAAATTTCGGTTTTTTTTTTTCAGGCTCTCGACACGTTTAACACACTTATCTCCAATCTATTATGCCATGTTCACATCACTTACGATTCTTGCCAGTGCCATAATGTTTAAGGTAGTCTAGAACAGTCTGGTTTTTAGTGGTTTTATGCTGTTTTCTAGAATAGTCTAGAATAGTCTAGAATAGTCTGGTTTTATGCCATAATAGTCTAGAATAATCTTCAGGTACTTACCCTCTCTATCCTTATAGGAATTTTCTAAACGACCCGAGATTCAACTACATTACAGACATCTCCAGAAAAGTTTCAAAATTGCGCAAACACCCCACTAGAGGGTTTTCAATCAATCTCTGGGTACTGTGTAGGTTTTCATTTTTTTTTTTTTGGGGGGGTAA